TACATTTGGAGCAGTAACAGATGACTTTAGTGTCACTGGTTTTGAACTCTGCCTTTGTTTCTTTGCTGTTCATGTCTTTTTGTAAGCAATTGTGGCCAAGACAGAAAAGTAGAATCTCAAAGGTGGATGGAGTGGAAGAGGAGCATAAACACAGGGAGTTTCTTTATTTGTAAGGAAAGGAGGGAAAAACAGAGTGACTCTGCATTTGATAATGAGACTATAGAGGTATAGCAGTCCCCACCTGGGGAGAGCAGAAAGGGGTAACTGGTGCTGGTTTCAAATAAAAATATGCAGCCTTCTCCCACAAACACACTCCACACAGGTTGTATTCAATTTGCCTATTACTATTAAATAAGTATTTGATTGCAAAACTAAAAATGGAAAAAAATAAATTTAGAAATACTATTTAAGAAATGTGAATATATATGGACAGTGTCACAGGAAAAAACATTCCTAAAGAATATTATATTACTTTCAAAGCATCCTGGTTGGGAGATTAATATGAATTATGATGAGACTATGATCCAATGCCAGTTTCCTTGAATAATTTACGCCAAGCTGCCCCTAGTGTTCAGAAAAAGGAAACTTAAAAAATGTCCCTCCCCCACAGTATAACAACTGTTTTCACTGTATTTGATGTTGGTATAATTAGGGGAGGGGAAGGGAAAAAAACAATTGTTGAAATAGGGATACAGATTAACCCATTGCAACAATGAGATGTACAAGACGCTATGTCAAAAAACGAACTTTACAATTTAGGTGGGGGTGGGGGGTTGGGGTAGAGGGTGGGAGGTGTAGCTGAGGAGGTATAAGGGATGGCAGGGGAAAAACAAAGGATGAGGCAACAATGCTGGATAAGAAATGTACTCATTACCTTATTCATGTAACTGTAACCCCTTTGTACAGTATTTTCACAATAAAAACAATTTTTTAAAGACAAAAAAAAAAGAACCCCATGGAATCCACTCTCAAGGTACTTGAGCTGATTGGAAACTTTGGCAAATTAGCAGGGTATAAAATTAACCCCCAGAAATCAGTGGCTTTCCTATATGCCAATAATGAGAAGAACGCAGCTGAAATTAGGAAAGCAACCCTTTTTGTAATAGCCCCACAAAAAATAAAATACTTTGGAGTTAGCTTAACAAAAGAGGTGAAGGACCTCTATGACTAAAACTTTGAAAACCTGAAAAAGGAAATTAAAGCAGAACTAAGCAAGTGGAAAACCTCTCATGCTCCTGGATTGGGAGGATTAACATCATGAAGATGGCAATATTGCCAAAAGCTATCTACAAATTCAATGCAATACCTATCAAAATTCCAACCTCATTCTTCAAGGAAATAGAAGAGGCAATCCAAAAATTCATATGGAACAATAAAAGACGCCGAATAGCAAAAACAATCCTTAGCAGAAAGAACAGCTCTGGAGGAATATCAATTACAAATTTCAAACTCTACTACAAAACCATAGTAATAAAAACAGCCTGGTACTGGCACAAGAACAGATTTGAGGACCAATGGAATAGGACTGAAGACCCAGAAATTAACCCACCTAACCTTTGAAAAGGTATCTAAAGAAATAGAATGGAAGAAAGACAGCTTTTTCAGTAAATGGTGCTGGCAAAATTGGTTATGCACTTGTAGAAAACTAAAACTAGATCCATATATATCACCTTGCACCATAATCAATTCCAAATTGATTAAAAACCTCAAAATAAAAGCAGACTCCCTGAAAACATTCCAGGAAGGAATAGGAGAAACTCTAGGTCTCCTTTGCACAGGCAAAAATTTTCTTAATAGAGACCCAGAAACACAACAAATCAAAGAAAGGTTGGACAAATGGGATTTCATGAAACTGCAGAGTTTCTGCAAGGCAAAGGACATAGCTAGCAAGATCAATAGGAAGCCCATGGACTGGGAGAAGATCTTCACTAGCCTCATACATACCTCATATGTCTCATATCTAAAATATACTTACAACTCAAAAAACTAAATCCCACAACAACAAATCCTCAAAGATACAACTGCCCAATAAGTAAATGGGCTAAAGACTTGAAGAGTATTCTGTGAAGAGGAAATAGGAATGGCCAATAGACACATGAAGAAATGCTCTAGCCATAAAAGAAATGCAAATCAAGACAACATTGAGATGCCACCGCACTCCAGTTAGAATGGCTATAATCAAGAAATCTAGTAACAACAGATGTTGGAGGGGATGTGGACAGAAGGGAACCTTACTACATTGAACAAGTGTAAACTTGTTCAACCACATTGGAGAACAGTATGAAGATTCCTCAAAAGACTCCACATAGAGCTTCCCTATGACCCAGCAATCCCACTTTTGGGCATTTACCCACATGATCACAAACAAGGCCATACTAAAGCTACCAGCACAACTATATTTATTGCAACATTATTTACCATAGCTAAGATATGGAACCAACCTAGATGCCCCTCAGTAGATGAATGAATGGATCAAGAATATGTGCTATAATGTACAAGTCATTATGTCGAAAACGAACTTTACAACTTTCGTGCCGGGGCGGGGGGGGGGGGGGGGGGGGCGCCAGGGAGGATTGAGGGGGGGCGAAGGGAGGATGGGAAGGCATAGGAAGGGGAAACTAAGGAGGGGGCTACAATGCTTGATGGAAATATACTCATTATCTTGCCCATGTAATTGTAATTCCTCTGTACAGTATTTTACATTAAAAAATAAATATTAAAAAAGAATATGCACTATATATAGATATAGATATATATACACACACACACACAATGAAATTCTATGCCTCCATCAGAAAGAATGACATCACCCATTTGTCAGGAAATGGAAAGACTTGGAAAAATTATATTAAGTGAAGTAAGCCAGGCCCAAAGAAACATAGGTCCCATGGTTTTTCTTGTTTGCAATATTTAGTACATGTCTACGTCAAACAGAGCAGGTCAAAGGCTATGTACATATGACCATATTAAATAATGTTAAGCAAAATAAACCCCAAGACAGGGACACAAGGGGTTTTTCCTTTCTTGCTATTGTTTTTATTGTACTTGTAATGCACTATGTGATTCGTTTGTTTCTTTTGTAAGATCTTCCCCCACAGTATAACCCATGTTGTCACTGTATTTGCCTGTGGTTTTCTGTATCTTGTATATACATTTTTGTAATTTGGGGGGGGAAGGGTATAGCAGAATGCTTAAATGGGGATGCAGGTTGACCCATTGTGATGATGAGATATACAGGACACTATGTTGAAAATGAACTTTACAATGTCAGGGAGGGAGGGAGGAGTTTGCGTGGGTAGGGAGGGGAAAAATCAAATGAGATGGTAACAATGCTCAATAGGAAATGTACTCATTACCCTACTCATGTAACTGTAACCCCTCTGTACAGTATCTTTACAATAAAAATAAATAAAACCCCAGTGAAACTAAAAAAAATGGCATGTCTAAAAAAAAAATGGCAGTTTTGACAGGCCTTGTGGTATAAGAAAATGTCAGAAGCACCAGAAAAGGGGAGAATCTAGCAAAGCAAGTGACTCCTTCAAAAGATTAGTAAAAACTAAGAGCTAGATATGAAAATCCCAGCTACTGAGAAAGCAAAGTATAGAAGGCAAACCCAGGCAATGTTAGTGACATCCTATTTCTAAAACAAAAACAAAATCGGTTAAACTGGGTTAAATGTAGAATTCAAGTGGTAAAGTGCTAGGTAAAGTATAGCATGCACAAGGCACTCAGTTCAATCTCTAAACTTTGCAAAAACAATAAGAACAAAAGGAACCACACCAAAGCTTTGGCTGCTTTGGTTTGTTTATTTGACAACTGGTCAGCCCTATGAACAACAGGAAAATGATGACTTTTATGAAGAAAGAAATTGTTTCATAACATCTAGTGCATCATGAGAATGTGGCAATCCCAGTGCTGCTTACAATGAAAATGAAGACAACCCATAGAGGTAAAAAGTGAACAGGGCTAACTCAAAGCAAAGTAAACAAAATGTAAATACCGAATAATAGTCACTGCACATTGCACGGTAGTACCTGGATTCTGAGCTGGAGGTGTTTAACTGATAGTATCTATCTGGCAAGCACAAAGGGCTGAGTTTAAACCCCAGAACTGCCAAAACAAAACAAAATAAAAACAAAGGAAAATGAGAAAAAAGGTCCAGAATATTTGAAGCTAATTGACTCCCTTTATTGAAGAACACAGCAAGCAACCAAGACCACAAGGGAAAAGCTACCAATGTCAACTGAGTTTCTCAGAAATGACTGTAATAAAAGCAACAACAATAATCCAAACAATCATCATCAATTGGACAACCATCACTGTTAGGAACCCTGCAGCAGCTGTTTAGTACTAGTTGTTTTTGTTTTAATTAAATATACCTTTTCTTTCTGTGTTGATAGGTAAAGCTGTATTTCAAACTTCCAAAGGAATATAAATGTGAACCAAGAAAAACACAGCATTCTCAAGGACTAAGTTAACCAGTGTCACCTGACATGACCTGACCTCATCTAACTCCTGAGCTTTTGGCTTCTTCTTTTGGTCTGGGCTTATTTCAGAGCTACTGTACTTTTGGCCCACATAAGTCAAGGTTTTCTTAGTCTTGCTGTTATTTTTTGGCTTCCAGGCACTCAGTACATTTGGAGCAGTGACAGATGCCTTTAGTGTTACGGGCTTTGCACTCTGCCTTGTTTCTTTGTTGTCCAGGTCATTTTTGAAGTGCTCAATTAAATACTGTGTGTGTGTGTGTGTGCGTGCTTGTGCGTGCGTGCATGTGTGTGTGTGTGTGTGTGTGTGTGTGTTGGGGGGAATGGGGACTGGGATGGAACAAATGTTAAGAGACATGATTGGGGGCAATACTGAATATGGGAAAAGCCTCTCTTCCAAAATAATTTTGAAATTTTATGTAGACAGAGCTACAATGGGCATATTTTTCTATGTGATCCTAATAGCAAGTACCTAAGAACTATCTCAATGGACAGACCGGATAAAAAGAATCCTACCTGACAAGACCACTTCAATCAGGTCCCCTTCCTGGATATCACTAGCTGTCTTCACCAGCTGCAGGATGTTTTCGGAGGTAGGGTCATGGCGGAAAAGAAGGATCTTATCATACATTCCGTAGAAACCACATTCAGGGAACTGTAAATACAAACATCACAATGGTATAAACATCACAACCCTCCTGGATATTTTGTTTAAAATACAAATAAAAAGTCAGGATATAAATACAAGCTAAAGGTAAAAGTTTAACATAGAATCTTCAAATGTATGAAAAGAAAAGAAAGAGTTCACATTGGTAAGACTCCATGAAGAGTGGGAAAAAATCCTGTACCCTAAGGGCCATAATGATCCAATGGTACCATAACTCACAAAGAAACAGAGCATGACTTAGGTTCAAAATGTTTCCATAGATGCCAAGATGGTCAAAGTAAGTGGGAAGGAGTAGGCATTTCCCCAGCCTACAGTTAGCAATGGCATAAAAATGGGAATTAGTTTATCATCATTTTAATATACTTATCTGAAAAAGCAATGACTAGATTGAACAAATTGAACTGTATAATATTGGATGGGGGGAGGGGAGCAAAAGCCCTATATAGATTCTTTGAATTAGGGGAGTGGGGGAAGCTAAGGAGACCACCCAAGTCTCCCTCTGCTGCTGCCCTGACCAAGTTCCATTTCCTTTTCCTGCAGTCTCTTTTGTCTGCCCCAGAAGCAGTATAGAAGGTCCATCTGGCCACACTCGGAACAATTTTCACTAAAGCAAAAAAAAAAAAAGGCAAATCTGTTATGTAGAAAGGAAGTGGGGTTCTCTTCTTGTATATGACTTTCTTACATAATTACTGAGGACAGTTAGCTTGTATACAAAGATACCCATCATGTAATAAAATAGATCCTGTCTCTCTTGATCCTGAAGCCAGTGATGGACCTGACACGTACATCAGTATACATTCTTCCATTGTCAGGTTAAAATGTTCAGAATTTCATATCTTCTAAAGATGAGTCCAACATATTGAAAATCCCTCTTTCTCTTATTCATAAAATTAGGAGCTATATTCATGAGAGCCTTTTGTATGAATTAAAAATAAATATACTCAGAATACTTTCTTCCTCCTAAGTGTCTGTGCTGATGACTAGGCTTAAAATGATTTCTGTATGTCACTTGGTAAAGTTGACTTTCCTAAAATAAGTAAAACAGCTGAAATGATTTCACTACTTCCTCTGTTCTAACTTAAAGAAAAAGATAAGAACTGGGGGCATGTTTCAAGTAGTAGAATGCTTGCCTAGCAATCTATCCTGAGTTCAAACACCAGGACAAAAAAGAGAGAGGAATAGGGAGAGGGAGAAGGGATTATAATGGATGTAAGGGCATATGACAATGAGTTTTGAGGCTGGATATGCATGCAGGAGACATCACAATCAATTTATGAAACATTTTCATCAACACCAAAAGTTTGATTGTAATTGATACTGCCCAAAATCTACTCTGTCACCATAGGTTTGCTTGTCAGCTGAAGAATTTCATAAAAATGAAATCATACAATGTATTTCATGTACTATTTTCTAGCTGGCTTACTTTGTTCATTGTTTTGATATTCATTCAGATATATATATATATATATATATATATGCTACACCAGTTTACTTATTAATACTGCATTTAATGGATACCACATAATTTTCCATTCACCCAAAAAATGTACATTTTATTCTGAATTTATGGCTAACTGAAGTAAAAATTGGGCAGGCATCAATGGCTTCTACCTGTAGTCTTAGCCACTTGGTACAAGGCCAATCCAGGCATAAAAGTTCACAAGATCCCATCACAATTCATAGATAGGTACAGTGGTACACATCTCCCATCACAAGCTATGGGAAAAGCTGAGATTTGGAAGGATCATTATACCAGGCCAACCAAATACCACTAAGACTCAATCTGCACAGAAGGAAACTGGATACAGCTGCATTTCCTGTGATCCAAGTAACAAAAGCAAACATAAACATAGGCAGAGAGCACTGTATTTGACTTTGGTACCTTGTGTATTATGTATACATTTATCTGAATTGGAGAAGGAAAGGGGAACAACAAAATGGTGATACAAAGGACAAAGGGCTAACCAATGCAACAGCAATACTCCCTATATTGGAAATGAACTTTACAATTTGGGGAGGTGAAGAAAGAAGGAAAAATGGGAGAAAAATGAGGGAGGGGATAACAATGTTTGACAAGAAATGTACTCACTCCCTTAGGTATGTAACTATAATCCCTCAGTACATTACTTTGACAATAAAATTAAATTAAAAAAATAGGCAGATAGCAGCTAAGCCATAGCAGCACCTCAGTCTTGAGGTGTTGCCAGCCTAGAGAGCATGAGGCCCTAAGTTTCTAGTAAGCACAAAGCCCTGAGTTTAAACCCCGGAACTGCCAAAACAAAACAAAATAAATTAAAACAAAGGAAAATGAGAAAAAAAAAAAGGTCCAGAATCTTTGAAACTAATTGATTCCCTTATTTCCTTTATTCAAAGGACATAGCAAGCAACCAAGGCCACAAAAGAAAGTAAAAACGGGGCAGGCATCAGTGGCTCCCAGAGAAGGAAGGGAGGGAGGAAGCCAAGGAACTTATTAACATTTATAAACAAGTGTTTTACTGGGCATATGCTACTTATTTCCTGTGGGAAGATGCCTGCCAAAACATTGCTAGGTCAGATTAATTTACATGTCTAGGCTCATGCCAATACATATTTACATTGTGTTTACTGTTGTAATCCTGGAATTAAGGTAAAATAAGCCTAAGCCCTCCAAGTTTTCTTTTCAAGGTCTTTTTTTTTTTTGTATATGTCCTGTTGATTTCCATGTGTGTTATAGAAACACATTATCAATTCCTAGAGGTAAATGTGCTTTGATATTTCAGATAGTTCACCAAACCATACAAAAATCCTTTTAAAGATAAATATATTTTAAAACTTGTAGTTTATTATGAGCAAGATGCAGTCCCTACCAGCTTCTCTTAAATTTACCTTAACTTGTCAATTTTAGTGAATGTGTCTCAGGTATATATAATAAATCTACCTATTAAGTCTTTAATATTTGTCTACTATATATATATATATATTTATAATACAATAGGTTTCTAATAATTGCCATAAAATTAAATTCTGCCTTTTAGTATGAAATTCTTATAAAAAATGAAAATCATAACTATAATATAGTAACAGTTTTAATATGTCACAAAAGTTATAGCCCGTATGTAAAACAGTTTCACCGCTACAAAAAAGTAATTCTCAGAGAACTCGGTCAACCACTTCCCTGGCAACCTCTATTTCTCAACACCAGGCCACTGTGCTCTGTCCCTATAATTTGGCTTTTCAAGGGTATTAGTTAAGTGGGACTAGGCAGTCCATTACTTTGAGCCAGGCTGTTTTTCACTCAGCATAACTAATAATAAGAATCCTTCATATTACTGTGCCACCATCCATTGTTTTTCTAGCGGTAGAGTTCTTCTCTGTTTGATGGATGTACAACAGTGTGACAGTTTTTGACTGCTATAAATTTTTAAACAGATTATATGTGAACATTATATTTTTCCTCTGAGGGAGGTGGTAGGTATCTAGACAAGTTTGTAAGAGATTGCCAAGATATGTTCAAAGGAAACTATTCAATTTTACATTCTCATCAGCAAAGTATGAGAGTGACAGTTGTTCTATGTCTTTGACAGAACTTACTACTTTTTGCTTTAGACTTAATTGATGTAGAATAGTATGTAAATGGCATTAATTTTTTTATTAAGAGTGCATTATGTTCCACATCTCCTCATGGTTTTATTTGATATACATATCTACATACATACTGTATGATCAAGTTTTTTGCTCACCATTCATCATGAATTGATTATTTGCTTATTATTAGGTTTGGAAAATTCTTTATATATTCTGGTTACAGTTATTTATTAGATATGTTTCACAGATTTTTTTTCCTACTCTGTGGCTTACCTCTTAATTTCCTTAACATTGAAGTTCCTAAAGACTTATTAAGTATCTAATAAGTTTTTGCACAACCTAGTGTGACAGATTTTTTCCTATGAATTACTTACTTTATTTATTTTGCCAGGCCTGGGCTTGAACTCAGGGCCTGGGCACTGTCTCTGAGCTTCTTTTTGCTCAAGGCTAGCACTCGGCCACTTAATCCACAGCACCTCTTCCAGTTTTTTTCTAATTATGTGGTACTGAGGAATTAAACCCAGGACTTCATGAATGGTAGGCAAGCACTCTACCACTAAGCCACATTCCCAGGCCTATAAATTTTATTTTTATGGTTATGTTTAGGCGTTTATCGATTTTCATGCAATTTTAATAGGGCAAAAACAAGGATTAAATTTCATATGCTGGAAGATTGTATAGGTTTGGTACTGCTTAGTTCTTAAAAGCTTAGAAGAATTCTGTGATTAATTTTTTTTTACTGAAAGGTTTAAAACTTCATATCTAATATGCTTATTAACTGCAATTAGTACAAGCTAAAATTAAATTTTGATCAAGGGCTTTTGTAGTTCACATCTTTTCAGAAAACTTTCATCCACATCATCAATTATGAGAATAAATTTGCTCCATATTCCATCGCCTTTTCGTGTCTATGGGGTTTGTACTTTTGTCTCATTGATGATATGGGTGACTTGTGCATGCTTACATGTGGTTTGTCTCATAAGGGTTTGTGGACTGAAGACTTAGTCTTCAGCTTGATGATGACTTTAGCTCACTGGGCCTTAAAGACATGGGGTGTCTGTTGTGAAAGGTACTAAGGACACTCTCATAGTACTTAAGGACGTGTTGGCAACAACTGAACTTCTCTGGCTTCCCTGAGCTGTGATCTCAGGTTCTCATGAACATCGTGCCTTTGTCACCTGTTATGCTATGTTCACAATTTGAAGTTTTAGCTTCTAAATGTATGAAACCTCTTTATCAACTTACCAAACTTCAAGAATTGCACTTTACAACAAAAGTGAACTAATATACTGTCTTTTCTACTGTTTGGTCAGTCTGTCAAGACATTTGTCAATTTTGTTGAGTTATTCCTAGTGAAGTAGATATTGATATTCTCAATTTTCACTACTTTTTTTATTTTTACTGTTCTGTTCCATATATTCATTTTTGTATCTTTTCTATGTTTTTTTACTTAACTTGATTTTTATTTAATTTGTTCTTCTCTTTCTAGGCTCATATGAAAGAATATTACTGATTTACAATTCTCAGGATTCATTTCCTAACATGCACAATTAATGCAATCTATTTATCTTTCAGTATCATTTTGGCATCACTACACAATTTTTGAAAAATCTTTTTAAAAATTTAACTTAAAGTATTTTCCATCATACCATAAACAAAATACCACTCCAAAACGAACTAAATATTTAAATCAGAAGATCTTAAAGTGTAAAATTATTGGAACCCAATGATTCAGAGATAAAGGTTAACAATGGCCAAGCCATGATATTTTTTCAAGAATATGATCAAAAAGGATTGGAAATGAAAGGGAAAACCAACATGTGGGTTTACATCAAACATAAAAACTTTTGCATAACTAAGGAATCATCAGAAAAAGCAAAAACCTATGTGACAGGAGAAAAAAATGTAAACCATGTATTTGCTAAGAGATCACATAGGAATAATTCTAAACAGAACAAAGGAACTCCATTTAAAAATGGGCATTCATCAAAATATATACAAAAAGGCAACTTAAAATATTCACTATGACTAATCATCAGAGAAAAAAGATTAAAACTAAAATGAAAACACAACTCATCTATTATTAAGGTTACTATAAAAAAGAACACTATTGACAAAAAATCTAGACAAAAGGAAACTTGCTCACTTAAATAACTATAAATAGTATGCCTTTTGGAGGTTTTCCATAATATTAAAAAATCAGCAATACCACTTCTGCATAAAAGTCAAAGGAAGAAGAGATAGTAGTAGGAGAAAAACAAAGGAAGGGTAACAATGTGCAACAAGAAGTGTACTCATTACCTTACCCATGTAACTGTAACTGTAACCCCTCTGTATAGCATCTTTACAATAAAATTGTAAAAATCAGAGGAAGATAAGAAAACACCATCACAATCTTATCTTAAAACACTGATATATATGGTAAAAGGCAAGAAGTTGTCAAGCAGTCTTGGTTAACTGCTGTCTGGTAGATCCTTATCTCAGTTCCTGTCAGAGTCTTATCTGTGTAAAGGAAATTGCACTGGCTGTTGGGACAATCTGCACTGGTGGCTGAGGAAATTCCCTTTGCTCAATCTCTATTTGTTACACAAAATGCTTATCTACCAGACTTGGGATCCTGAAAGGGAGTCAGTTTGGTTCCCAAGAAATGAATGTTCCTGCTTCAGGGCACAGTTTCATCACTGGATTATCTGCCTGCAAGGCTCTGCTAGACTTGGGAGGTATAAGGCAATGACTGCAGACACCTAGGCACTATCCTATGGTCCTGAGAGAGGACAAGGTAAAAGTTGGTAGTTAGCAATCTGTTGAAAACACCTTAAGACACTCTTTCCTGAGTATTTGCGACCCCAAGGAGGGAGAATTATTAGGTTTGAGAGAAGTATTATTTAAATGAGTAAAATATAAATACATGTAGATTTGGGCAGGAATCTGACCCAATGTTTAAGGAAAAAGAGATAGATATGAAAGGAAGGTGAAGATGCCAAGCTTTACCATGATTTAACAAATCAACATCCATCTGTAGGCCCAAGTAGAGTCAGTGTTTTTAGTCATTAAACCATTTCCAGCTGACTTTTGCATATGTATTTTGCATATAGTTTCATGTAACTGGACATTTAATTTTTAGTTTTCTCAACACCATTTTTTTTTCTGATCCTGGGGACTGAATTCTAGGCCCGGGCACTGTTCCTAAACTTCTTTTTGTTCAAGGCTTGCACACTTGAGCCACAGTTCCACTTCTGGCTTTTTTGAGTGGTTTATTGGCGATAGGAGTCTCACAGACTTTCCTGCTCAAACCAGCTTTGAACCTTGATCCTCAGATCTTTGCCTCCTCAATAGGTAGGATTACAGGTTTGAGCCACCCTAGCACCAGACTCAACGTTTCTTTCTTTTTTTAAAAAAAAATTAATTAACTAGGAGAAAAGCACCAAATTGTAATACCCAAGCACTTCTTCATATGTCTGTAAAATAATATACAGACTGAAAAGAATCCTACAGATAAGGAAACAAAGGACCTTTTCTTAATGTCTTATTGTTTTTAGAAGATTCTGTATTCTTTATCACATATATGGTATATACACATGCACATCTGAGGGAAGGTGAGAGGAGGGCACAGAATCAGTGGAAAGCAGATGAAAAAGTAGAGGAGGGGCCTATCAGCTGGACTGAACACTGGTGAAAGTGAACTAAGTAACCCAAGGGCAGTGATGGGAAGGAGGGAATGAGAGAGAAAGAGGGAACAGCTGATACTAAGCAAAAGGAAAGAAATGTACATATCAGCTGATCTGGAAGAAAAAGTTTTACTGTCAATGTTCATAATGTTAAACCTTTTTCTTATGTAAAGTTGAAGTTTTTGTATATTTCTTTATTCATAAATTTTGTAGATTAGAATAATGATGCTTATCATTGGGAATATTAAAATATGTTTCTGATTACCTAAGTATAACTACACCATAATACTGTGAAATTTTTGTAACTATTTAAAGTCAAGAAAGAAGTCTTTGAAATTTTTTAAAAAACTAATTTATTATTAATTTATTTTTATTGTAAAGAGAGATTATAGTTACATAAGGCAATGAGTACATTTCCTTTTGAACAGGTTATCCTTTCCCTCATTTTTCCTACTTCTCCACACCAACTCCACCCCCCTCAAATTGTAACGTTCATTTCCAACATAATGTCTAGTGAGTATCATTGTGAACCTTTCCCGCTAACTTAAAACAACTAGACAGCAACATGATTCAAAATGGTTTTCTTCTGTATATCCTGGTTGAGATCATTTGTGTATCAGTGCATGAATTTAGAGATTTCAAGACATTTGGAAGAGATGTGGAACTTATTTTAAAATTTATTTTGGTTTAGTTTTCTTAATGTTTATTAGCATACCTTTTAAGTTCACTGGACTTTTCTACTATAGTGTCTAATTAACACTGAAGCCTACAGAGTAAATTTTTTACATCATTGTATTCAGTAGCTCTTTATTTTTATCTTGAATATTTTAATGATGAAGTTAGCTCTTTTCTATATCTTCCATTTCTCCATAATTGTGTTCACTTTTTCACTTAAACGCTTCAATTTATTTTTTTAGCATTACCTGTATCATTTCTCTTTCTATCACCAGATTTAATCCTACTTATGGGTTGCATTTCTGTGCTATTTTAAATATGTACTTTCAAAATTAGCTGCCACAGAGTATGAATTCACATGAATTTTAGACTTTATAAATACTGCTGTTAACCTTAGTAGTACAATAAATTATTGCAGACCAGTCTTATCTTTCAGGATTATCTTTATGTTTGGCTAGTTATATAGTCTCTGCCCTAGAGATTGACTAACCCAATTATCCAGACTAATGACTCTCTAAACATCTCTATGTAGTGCCCCAAGGGCTCAGTGAAATCTTTCTTACTATGCTGGTAGAAAGTCAAATGCAGGCCTATGAGATTTATAAAATGATCATTTCATGCTTTATATCTTACAAACTTTGGAAAAAGTCAGTAAGTTATATATACATATAGAAAGATAGATAGATAGATACCCAATTTACATTATTTACATTGAAACCAGTGCACAACTTCATCCTTAAGCAGATTTTTAGAGCTCTTTCTTGTACAGGAACAACCTGAATGAAAGTGCTCCCCAAGACCTATTGATATGGTCTCCTTGAGGCTCATATTTCTGTTTACTTCATGTACCAGACAACTAATTTCTGTTTGGGTTCTCTCGTCCAGTGTACTTAGAGTCCTGCCTCCAAACAAAAAGCTCTTGTGATTATAGTATTTACATTGTATATTTTCCCTTCTTAGTCAGTTCATGATCCTGAACTATGTGTTTGTCCATGTGAAAACAAGACTTTTTATAGGCTTTGCACTATTTCCTGTTTGGTAGGGTAGAAAGCTTATTTACCTTCTTCTGGATGAGAGGTTTAGCCCATCATATGTACTTATGACTTAGAATGCTTAATTCAATATACAGTGTCTTTGCCATAAAAGTAAGTTAAAAAATAATTGGTTCATTGATTCATGATTGATAAAGATTTTGATTTTATGATTAGCAATAAAATAAAAACAAATTTTATAAATTATCCTATAACTCTCAGGCCCCAGTTTTAATGTGGTTAAATTTATTAAAGTATTGTCCTAGCTTCAAATATATGTACTTCAAAACACAGGACATTATTAAACTCATAGATCCTGTTTCCATATCCTTCCCAACCATACGTAGCTTATCTGATTTAAAAGAGTGGGAGTGGACCTCAAAAGATTCAAGTGTTTGGGCTGAGATGAGCCAAGATATAATAGCTGGAAAAAAATAAAGATAGCTGAAACAGCACATTGTGTCCCAGAATAAAAGGTAATAAGCTTTACAAAGAGCAAACAAATGCTTTGTGACTGTGATTCTTTGGTGAAAGTTGGACAGGAAAAATGAAAGGGCTCAAGAGACAAGGACAGATGCATCCCATTTCTATTCTATCAGGCTTTGTCTACATGTCCCCTCACTTTTTCAAGGGCATCTCACCATGCCTTTTCTTTCTAGTCATGTATTACTGGCATCTGAACACCATGTTCTATGCTATGGCTTTCTGTAAGACCAGGGACATAATGTAATAAGTGATCTGGTGTTCAAGTAAAGCTTAAACACTTCACAGCCTAGTTAGTGAATTTATTTCTTGGTATAACTCCAAAAAACAAATTTAATTATAAGAAAATTATCAATAATATGCCACCTGTTTGAAGGCTATTATTTAAAGTCTAAATGTTTGAGATGAGCAGTCTTAGCAGTACACGTGGAGGTAATCTGAAATATGACTAAAGTGTAATTATCATCTCTCCCAGACTTCTGCTTTCTTCTTCCTTTACATGTCTTCGTTCTCCAAGCCATTTGGAATCAAGCTGCAGAGCCTTTTGGAGCAAGGTGTAAGAGTGGACAAAGTGGACGCTCCTTTTACGACAGTTGTCATGGTAGCAGAAATTGAAGGTTCAATTTTTTTCAGATTGTACCTTTTCTATTAACAGAAAAAAGCATATTTGTTTCTGACTATAAGAGAAAAGAAAAGGCTTTTCTTTTATGGAACATAATATTCTACTTGAATACAGACTATATACAATAAGACTTTCAAAAATCTTATTTAAAAATGATGTCTGGCAGGTGAAAAGTGTAATATAACAATGCCTGACAAGCAAAAAAGAATACATATTGGGGAAAAACACTCACGGAACAACATTCCCTAATTTGGTCATAATCATCTGTTTTTATGTGAAGGTGTGTGAGCTTTGAAATCTGAAAACCCTCATTAAACTAAACAGGCTTTCAAAAAGGCTCAGAGGCATGTAAACTCAGCTGGAGCTTATTACACGATCAGTTCCGTGTTTCTCAGAGGCTTTGTGGTTGTGAGCACAAACATCTGAGATAAGTGATTTCAAGTTCTCTCCAAGTTCGATTCTAACAAAACTGGCCACTGTGAAAATACAGCCAACAATCCCGGCACTGGTCCTAAGCTCTTTAATTCTACCCTAAGCTGGAAACCTCTGAGCTACTGTGTGTATCATTTGGTATTTTTGACCACAGAGCACAATTTACTGTTACATTTCACTATAAATTCATGGCTGGCCTGACAATGTGCTCCAGAGTAGAATAAGTACATGTTTTAATGAGTCGTTGAATGTGACCTGGCCAACGGGAAATCTGAGGAACAAAGGCTGCTTTTAGTTGAGGCCAATCACAAAGGGCAAGGAACAAGCAATACTGGAAATAAATTAATCCATGACTCAGTCAAGTGGAAAACATAAAGAGAAAAAAAATGAGACATATGGACCACATTGGAAATGAAAATACTCTGTTAGTTTACTTTTGAAAAAAAGGTGTGGATTCAATGAACATGATGAAATTATTCTGATCACAATGGAATACAGCAAACTGTAAGTTGAATACTGCAATTTTCTCCCTGATGGTTCCTGAGTCATTTGCCAAAACCTTTTTCTGTTCACAGTATTAGTGCAATGACTTGTCATCTCTAATCAACAAAGAAATTTAAAACAGAGGCATTACTTCATAACTTGGTCAAAACACCCCCTAGGCTGTTACTAGAGAATGTAAAGGATAACATTAGGAAGAATCATTGAAACATGGGGAGAAAATGAGCCTCCACCTCCTTGCTAGAGTTATTCCTGAGTGGTTCTAGCATTCAGCTGCAAATAGGAAGGAAAAGATAAGCAGCTGAAGATTGTTCAGAAAGCAGTGATCAAAGGATGAATGAATGCATTGATCAACTGGATCATAGGACAAATCAACACGGCAAACACAGACTTGGATTACAAGCTTTTACCTTAGAAGTCAAACCATCCACTTTATAGTCATGATCCAACTCCTTAAAAAGATTATCTACTTGCTTGGTAAGAAATGTACGCATTATCCTGCCCATCTAATTGTAACTCCTCTGTACAGTATGTTCACAAATAAAATTAAATTAAAAAAATTAAAAAAAGATTATCTACTCAATCATAATTTTAAGTATATTAGTGAATAAAGAAAGATTTAGTGACGTGGAGTTGATATGTTCATAAAAAAATGAAATTTACTACAAGCATAAACATTAAAGTTTTAGAGTTAAATGTACAAATAAAAGGAAATAATGTAAATAACTTGTAATCTGGACCATTTGAAGATATATTTGTAAAATTTTATTCAAATGTGTGGTTTGTTTTAATATCACACAAAAGGAACACACGAAAAGAATTCCTCATTGTGACTCTATATACACACACACACACACACACACATATATATATACACAAATATGCGAATACACACACATATATATGGGGATATTTCTGAATGTAATCATAGGAAGTAGAAACCAAGAAATGTTTAAAACTTTTTTTCTCATTCCCCTTCTCCACTTTATGCCACTTCCCCAACATCATCACTGCTGCACAATGAATACATGCTGTGATACACAACTGAAAACTACCACTGATAATAAGGATTTTCTCTTTCCTGGTGGCAAACTTTTAGATAGATTCATAGTTAAATTCCTAGGCCCTCATTACAAAAGATCTTTTAAACTCATTAAACTATATCTGTATTACCTGGCTTTGAAAAGGTCTATTTTAAAAGCCTTTGAAAACTGTCAGCTTGGCATGACCAAAACCAAGAGATAGCTATCATACTGATGTAAGAAGATTCATAATACATTTTCCAAGCCAGGTAATGCACAGAAAGTTGAATACAGGCCAGAAACACAACACATTGTCCATTTTACTTTGTTGTTTCTGGGTTTTGGCACATGGTCCAACTCCAGACAACACTGGCAAACAAAGAGACCCTGGACTGTCTATCTCTGAAGTTCCTGCTCTCATAGGAGCACCTGCTTCCAACACAGTGCTTCCTTCTGTAAGGGATACTGTCACCAGGTGTCTATCAGCTTCCCAGATCTTCAAAATCCAAGTAAAGAAACACAGAAGTCAGTCAACTGAGTCTCTTCCCTTTACCGTGTTGCCAATAAAGAAAATGCTGTGTTTTTCCATTAATGTTTTCCTAAAGTCAAATCTACCACTGGTCCATGGAATCATTTCTGCCTAGATTTTTCTTTTTCTGAATTCAAAATCTCATTAAAATCATTATCAATCGTAATTCCAAATTTGTGCTTTACTTTAGCTATTACATTCTATTTGTATTTGTAATGAATAAATTAATTAACCTGGAAAAATATAACGAGTTATAAATAAAACAAGAGTAAATCTCATTCAAGAGGTCAGTGTAGGATTTTTGAAATTAAAGTTTAGATTAAATGTGAAATGGTAGATTTTTAGCTATAAATTTCTAAATCAATTATAAGGCATAGAAACATGATACATTTGTTTAATCCTTCAGAAATGAAAGTATATTGATCAATATAAGTATATCAACATTTTATATTAAATAGGACTAAAGAAGCCCAATAACATACACGATTATCTTTATGGCAATAGATAGCAGATGTGACTTGGAATGATACTTAATTCTTGACCCATATAACACACATTTCTGCTCTTAGGAGAGATACATACAAACATATTGTGGAATAGTCATTCATTCACTCAATGAATACTAACTAAATACTTAAACATTGTGTCTCAAAATGATGATAAATAAAACCAGAGGGGCTGGGAAGGTGGCTCAGTGGTAGAGAACATGCCTGAGGCCCTGGGTTAGATTCCTCAGCATCACATAAGCAAAAAGAAAAAAGCCAGAAGTGGCACTGTGGCTCAAGTGGTAGAGCGCTAGCCTTGAGCTGA